GTTGCCGTCATTCTGATATAGTTTAATTTTTTTAAATCGTATTCTGGTTACTCAAATACTTTTCATATACTTTTTTCTGGCTGAATATTTTACGCCCTAAACTCTTGCAGACATGGCAACGCGCATTCGAAATCAAATGCTTTGGGTGTTTGCTTTCTGAAAGTTTTGGTGAAAGAATTTGATAAAATAATCACGATTTCAGCGGAAACTTAAATCCGAAGTTTTAATTATTGTTTTGTTGCGCGTACACTAAAATGGAACTTGTTTTTGAAAGAAAATGGTAAAAAGAACAGAAACCACATTGGCAATCCCGTTAGCACAATCAAGTGCAGATTTAATTATGATGTAAATTTCCCATTGTATTTATACAATAATCGCACTCTTAACGTAATATGCGAACTGGTCCTACACTGTTTAGTATACTTAGATCAGAAAATGTGTTGGCAAAGCGCCCATAAAATCCATCTATTTTTTTCGCTAAGGTCTCGTAGTCTAGGTCTAAAAGCTCAGCTAAGGTCTAAAATAGTAGAAATTGAAACGCGCTCTGAATCTACAGAAATTTTGAATATCTAGAAGCAAGGGCTTCTTTGGTAAATGTTTAATTTTCCATCTTTAGATCTGCTTTAGTTTGCCAGTTGTGAATTTTTTTACAGAAATCTCGCACGGTTGCGGCAAATTCTGGATTGAGTGCAATTTCAAAAAATCTTAGAATTTGAACCAGCGCTCGGAATCTACAGAAATTTTGCACATCTAGAAGTAAAGGCTTCTTTGGCAAATGTTCAATTTTGCATCTTTAGATCTGCTTCAGTTTGCCAGTTGTGAATTTTTTAACCAAAAGCACGCACGATTGCGGCCATTTCTGGAATTGAGCGCAATTTCAAAAAATCTTAGAATTTGAACAAGTGGTCTGAATCTACAGAAATTTTGCATATCTAGAAGTAAAGGCTTCTTTGGCAAATGTTCAATTTTGCATCTTTAGATCTGCTTCAATTTGCTAGTTGTGAATTTTGTAACCAAAAGCGCGCACGATTGCGGCCATTTCTGGATTTGAGCGCATTTTAAAAAAATCGTAGAAATTGAATCAGCTCTCGGAATCTACAGAAATTTTGCATATCTAGAAGTAAAGGGTTCTTTGGCAAATGTTCAATTTTGCATCTTTAGATCTGCTTCAGTTTGCCAGTTGTGAATTTTTTAACCAAAAGCGCGCACGATTGCGGCAGTTTCTAGATTTGAGCGCAATTTAAAAAATCGTAGAAATTGAACCAGCCGTCCAAATCTACAGAAATTTTGCACGTCTAGAACCAAAGGCTTCTTTGACAAATGTTCAATTTTGGGTCTTTAGATCCGCTTCAGTTTGCCAGTTGTGAATTTTGTAACCAAAAGTGCGCACGATTGCTGCAATTTCTGGATTTGAGCGCAATTTCAAAAAATCTTATAATTTGAACTACCGCCCTGAATCTATAGAAATTCTGAGCGCGCAAAAGCAAACGCTTCTTTGGTAAATCTTCAATTTTGCTGCCTTAGATCTGCTTCACATTAGCAATCCCGTTAGCACAATCAAGTGCAGATTTAATTATGATGTAAATTTGCCATTGCATTTATACAATAATCTCACTCTTAACGTAACATGCAAACTGGTCCTTCACTGTTGAAAACGTGTTGGCAAAGCGCCCATAAAATCCATCTATTTTTTTCGCTAAGGTCGCGTGGCCTTAACCTACGTGCATTTTTCTGGCTCGTCCGTGAAAATTAACGAACTTCACATTGAATGTATCCATTTCCGGGGCCAGATAACGGATAAGTTAAGATTACCGTGGTCTTCAACATTAACTTTATTGCTCTTCTATAAATACTGAATGTTTTACATCTCTATCCAGCCCAGTGTATCCACCATAAACTTATCCAAACCATTTCCGTTGTATACTTAAAGCATGCATTTATCAACATACTGCTAAAGTATAAAATAGCGCCTATACTACCGTGTATAAAATGGTAACTTTGATGAACAAAAAAACGAATTAAACACTAAAAATAGCACACGTTTGAAAGCGTAACAAGAGATCACTAGGCATAAAAAAGTGTATTGTATAATAAGTGATTATAGCATGGGACCACTACCTGCTTTATTGGTTATTGGTACCTTCCAAATTTAGGACACGTTGTAGCAAAAATACTTTCGTTTCGCCACTAAAAAGCCCATTATTTCAATGGTAAAGTAACACAGTTTTGTAATTAAAACATAATCGTTTTTATGTCACAACTTAATGAACCGTAAGTAAAAGTCTGTTAGTGTTACAAAGCGACTGGTGCTAAGCATCAACAAATTCATTTAACTGTGGCCTACTTTGCCAGCTTCCAAAACATACTTCCAAGTGTTTTGCTGAGAAAACAGGAGCAGTTTTGAGTGTGTGGAACCGTCCAATCGCTAGACTTCTTCCAGAAGAGGCAATAACGACATAAACTTTTGGATTAGAGCGGTTTTCTAATGGGTCCACGGAGGTAAAGATGGGCGTTCGTTGGTTATGGATCAGGTGTTCTGCTGAGATTTCAACTCGGCGATAACAGGAAAAGTCTTAACTTAATGTGCCCTGTCAGCTACGGGAATTTCATTTGGCCACATTCCCTAGCTGATCTAACTAAAGAAAAATTCAGTTAGCTGCGCTTTACCACATAGTTTTCTGGGGATATGGCCGTCGCTTCAACCTGGTGATTCTGAACTCGAAGTTCAAACTGTTGGTCTCGTCCCTGAAGTGGCACACTATCGCTCTGGATACTTTAATGCAATTCATCCCTTTGGTGCAAGGAGAACTGTATACCATCTTGATCTTCTTTTCGCTCGGATGGTGCAGGATCACCTCCTGCTGGTATCTAAAGCGCAAAAGCATTGGACTTAGCAGGTTTTTTGTTCCGCTGGGTCACGTTGCTTACCTTTTAGCTTCTTCTGGCTTGCCGAAATACTGGGTGACTATCCAGGCTGAGCCGTCGTTGTTGTTGCCCTGCACGCTCCAGAAAATCTCCCCGTCGATTTTGGTTCTCCAGAATGTGTAGGAGAAAATCTTGCCCACTCGTTGCACCTTGTTGCCGAACTTGAGGTTGTACGTGTCGTTTACAGCCATTTCTTCGTCGAATTCCGAGAGGAAATCCATCTTGAGGGATGCTGGGCTCGAACTAATTTATGTAAAATTCTCGTCTCTTACTATCACAGTATTAGCTTTAAGTAGATTGGTTTCAGTCTTCCGGATTGTGGCCTCCTAGGTGTTATCTGAAATGCAACAAACAACAATGATGCACTCAGATTATTAAAATCCAGTGGCGCAGCACATGCTTGATTGAATCACTACGTTTCTGTTAACTGAGTCTGTTGGGAGTGTTCGTGATGGTACGGTTGTGTTATCTAGAACAAACCCTGTTCTGACGCCGCTGGGGATTTGCTTGATAGCACTTATCTGAGCTGATAATTTCGTGGAATACCTACTTCACATTCACTTTTATTTAGAGTGATTCAGCTATAGAATTATTTTTTGTCTAAAACCCTGCATTCATGGGGATAAAATTAGATTTTGGCAACAGTTACTATACTCATGTTTAATAAAACTCTTATTCATTGGCGCTGACTCGAAAATAAGACTGTCATCCTAATATTAACGGGAATGACTTCATAACGAGTGCAGCGAAAAATTGCGAGTGGCCACTTAAAGATGTACGAAATGCTCGAAACCACCAAGTGGCCTCGTACATTTCGGATTTCTAAATGGAAAGTAGATAAATATTTCGGAAATGAATTCATCAAGAGCAACTTTCCTGCCAAGTGGCTGACATCATCCTTAATATGCAGATCACTGATGAAAAGGCCGACCCCGATAAAGCCCCGTTAACTGCCGAAAGTGAAATCCGGCTTCTTAGGGCAAATTTACAAGCTGAACCACTTTTTGGGCTGAATGCACTAATTGCGACAACTAGAGTAATTGCGAGTGGAGATATTCTGTGTCCTCCTAGCGAGAATCGTGTGGAGTAGATTTTGCACCCAAGAAATTCAGCTGAACCATAAAGCAAATCATTACCTATGGTAAAAGCTTCCACCACAAGGACACGCCGATCTAGATTTCTTACCCAATAGGCCGCAATAAGCCCAACTGAGCAGCGTAATTTTTAAACATTGATGAATACTGGCTTAGGCCATATTTGCTGCAAAGCAATTACCTGCTGGTGTTCTTATTTATTCCATCCTATCCACCCACATCTCTGCACGAAGTACATTCGTAATCTCAATTCGCCATTGTAGAGTTCGCGGCACGATCGTTCCGCGATCCGCAGTACTTTCATGAACAAAATAAACGAACTACTAAAAATCGTGTACCGTTCACACCGTTGATATTATAAAACTTGGCCGAGCCTGAAATTTGTGGGACGCAGACCAATCGGCTGCCGAAGGAGAAAGCAACGTTAGAGATCGGCAAGCTAAAAATAATATTAATGTGTCCGTCCTGGAGGTGTTGGATTTCTGGATACATTGGCGCCGGGAGCATTGAATCCATCACCGGAAGTCTCGAAGGGGCGCACTGAAGTCCAGACTTTGTTTTACCTCTCCCACCATTCGCCTCAATCGCTCCTGGTTGCATCCCAAGAAAAATTGCCGATGGGATTTTTGTTTAGCGCACCAATCTTGTGGATATTGATCTGGACCGCATTTGTCCTCTGCCGGAATGTACCTACATACACTTTATCTTTTTTATATTTTCCGCGAAAGCAAACCTTTTAAAGCCCCCATAGAGCATGAGTATGCAATATCACATATACTCATATGTCCTCCCAAAAGTTCCCGGTCGTTTCCGATGGTCGATTTAAATCGACATTAAGACTCTATGAAAATATCAATTCCCCATTCTTCTTTGAATTTTGAACATATTTAAAACTGAAGCAAAAAGAGGGTCCATAGTCAGCCCCACGAGATTTCTTCGTGTACAGTTTACTGGTTTTTTGGGACCTCCTGTTATCGGGATTACACATGGTCCCATGGGACTTTAAACGAGGAATCGTAGGTCGGAGCGCTGAAAGCAGAAAGATCCACTCCAATCTCTGGTAACAATGCAAAGCGGTGCAAGGGGAGCGAAAGTCGTCTTTTTCCACTTTGGCATGGGATGAAATAAATAGGAAGGCAACGGAAACCGTGTTTTGTTGTCCATGCATCCTGCAAATCATTGCGGAGAAATTTCACTTTCATTTCTGTTACACATTATTACTATTATTATTATTACGCTATTTTTAGAACGATATTGTACGGGTTCATATCGTCCTTACATAACCAGCAATTTGCTGTTTTGCACCGTAATTCCAAACCCATTAAACATGCATTACTCTACAGCAGAGAGTTATTAGATTTATCAAACACGCTCTGTCTTGGGTGTCAAGGTTCTGTCGACCAAAAAAACATAATTAATTGCCAATAGCCAAATATCGAGACGATTTGCTCACACTTTTCAAATCAGCCGCTTAATAATGGCTGAATCACCCTGTATGGTTAATGGTTTGGTGCGGAAACTCAATAGCGAAAATTAATGGGGATTAAAACTAACTGATGCATTCGATATCGCAATTCGAACGAAAGCGGTTTATTGATGATTCAATGGCAGTCTGATGGGGGTAAAGCAGGGATTAATATGAATTTACGGGCTGGTTCCTCCAAGAGTTCTGTTTGGTTGAAATCGGACGTTTTTTGAAAACAGCTCCAGTTGTTTTTGTTGTTGGATTCAAAAAGCACTATTGACTAAAATAAAGATTAAAAGTGGTCTGATAGAAAGCAACTTTGTCCAGGGCATAATAAGGTCGTTGGGTAATTAAAGGGCTAATAAAACGGCAACAATAACAATTTTTATATTTTAGAAAGAAATCGCGTATGAGTATAACGATGTCGTTATTCCATGTCTTTGATGCTTTGATACTTAGTTGTTTTCGAATGTTGTGAGTTTCGTGAGCTAATGTGTTCAGTACTAATTTTGGATTTAGGCGCATTTTCAAAAAATTTCCAGAAATGAGCCCGCAGAATCTATAGAAATTCTGCATGTCCAACAACAAAGGCTTCTTTGGTGGATTTTAAATTGTCCATCCTTAGATCTGCTTCAGTTTGCGAGTTGTCAATTTTTTAACCAAAGGGCACACGGTTGCGGCCATTTCTGTATTTGAGCACAATTTCAAAAAATCACATAAATTGAACAAGGCCTCTGAGTCTATAGAAATTTTGGACATCTAGAAGCAAAGGCTTTTTTGGTAAATGTTCAATTTTACATCTTTAGATCTGCTTCAGTTTGCCAGTTGTGAATTTTTTAACCTAAAGCGCGGACGATTGCGGCAAATTCTGGATTTGAGCGCAATTTCAAAAATTCTTAGAATTTTAGCTACCGCTCTCAATCTACCGAGATTTGGCATATCGGGAAGCAAAGCCTTCTTTGGGAAATGTTCAATTTTGCATCTTTAGATCTGCTTCAGTTTGCCAGTTGTGAATTTTTTAACCTAAAGCGCGGACGATTGTGGCAAATTCTGGATTTGAGCGCAATTTCAAAAATTCTTAGAATTTTAGCTACCGCTCTCAATCTACCGAGATTTGGCATATCGGGAAGCAAAGCCTTCTTTGGGAAATGTTCAATTTTGCATCTTTAGATCTGCTTCAGTTTGCCAGTTGTGAATTTTTTAATCAAAAGCGCACCCGATTGCGGCAATTTCTGGATTTCATCCCAATTTCAGAAAATCGTAAAAATTGAACCAGTTCTCTGAATCTACAGAAATTTTGAATATCTACAAGCAAAGGCTTCTTTGCTAAATGTTCAATTTTGCATCTTTAGGTTTGCTTCAGTTAGCCAGTTGTGAATTTTTTTACCAAAAGCGCGCGCGTTTGCGGTAATTTCTGGATTTGAGCGCAATTTCAAAAATTCTTAGAATTTTAGCTACCGCTCTCAATCTACCGAGATTTTGCACATCGGGAAACAAAGCGTTCTTTGGTAAATGTTCAATTTTGCATCTTTAGATCTGCTTCAGTTGCCAGTTGTGAATTTTTTAATCAAAAGCGCACCCGATTGCGGCAATTTTTGGATTTTAGCCCAATTTCAAAAAATCGTAGAAATTGAACAAGTTCTCTGAATCTACAGAAATTTTGCATATCTAGAAGCAAAGGCTTCTTTGGTAAATGTTCAATTTTGCATCTTTAGATCTGCTACAGTTGGCAAGTTGTGAATTTTTTAAACAAGAGCGCGCACTTTTGCGACCATTTCTGGGTTTGAGAGCAATTTCAAAAAATCGTAGAAATTGAACAAGGGCTCTGAGTCTATAGACATTTAGCACATCTAGAAGCAAAGGCTTCTGTGGAAAATGTCCTGTTTTCCATCATTAGATCTGCTTCAGTTTGCCAGTTATGAATTTTTTAACCAAAAGCGCGCATGATTGCGGCAATTTCTGAAATCGCGCATTTTCAAAAAATCGTAGAAATTGAACGAGCACTGAATCTATAGAAATTCTACATACCCAAATACAAAGGACTTTTTAGCAAATGCTCAATTTTACGGCTTTTTAGATATAACTAAAAACTGAACTTTCACTTTGGGAACAATGTCGCCCCCATTTTGAGCTCTGACATTTCGAGAATCCTTCGCCCCCATACCCATTGTGCTGTAGTTGATTCAGGTATTCATTGGGGAGCCGGATAGGTTTATTAAAATGGGAAAATTAATGTGCATTAGGGTCTCGCCCTTTTTGGCCCTTAAGTGTGCCATAAAATTCGGACCTTATGGAAAATGGCCATTTTGGTGGTGCTTTTCCAATTGCTGAGACTCTCTTTCGGTCTGCAAAGATCAGTTTGGCTGAGTTTCCAAATCAAAACGAATTGTTGGCCCACAAGAAATGAATAATATATAAAGTAGCTACAAATATTTCAGTAGCTTCGGCTTCGGCTGACAATTTTGCCGATTTTTATTTCCCGCTTTGGCATTAATGCTTTGTCAATGTTAACTTTAATTGTTCAGGGAATTCAGCAGGTTTAAGCGGATTAGATATGATATATTTATGAAGCGAAACCCTAATGAATCATGTTGGAATATTATATTCTGTATTTTTTAATTCGAATTTAATAAATACATTTATGGTTTTCCCAATAACCTTTCAATATTAATAGTACCACAACTTAGAGTCTTAGATCCAATATTTTCATGCACCTGTGATCGTTTGAGAAAACGTGCTAACAAGAGTTCTCTAGATTCTATTTAAATGGGAAATTTACTGTGAATGTTTCCTGAAAACTTTAAAAAATTGTTGGGCAGAAAGAAGTGATTTGGTCAAAGTTGGATGATCAGAAAAAGTCTGATTATTTCCACTCACTCCAACCAAAGTGCTGATATTCTAAGACCATCTAAGATCACCACCACTGAAAACAAAAAACGCGAATATTTATGACTATGATTGAAACAATTCATAGCCCTATCAAGCGGATGCACTAAAAAACATTATTTTGTTTCCCGTTTTCGCCTTTTTCCCCAAGTCATGGCTTCAATGCAGCAGCAATTTCAGCAATATTGATGAGCCACCAGGGACCAATATAGTAGCGTTTATCAACACTGAATGTCATTTGCAAACAAACACCCTTTTCCGTCTGCCTGTTGTGCTGAATAAAGCGTTCAGACGATTCGCTGTTGATCAATTAATCAGCTTTGACCAGGATCAACTGTTGATTAAAACATTTGAGCAACTGGAGAAACGTCTGCAAACACGTAAACGAGGACCTAAAGATTTAATTGGATTGCCACAGCCATTCAGTCTGAATTTGTCATATGTGGTTACGAATGAATAATCAAGGAGTTTAAGCTGCGCCCCTGTTATTCAACCGAATTTCGGGGGAACTTTTCCAGGCTTTTCCGTTCAAAGCCGCCTGCAATTGCACTTCGGGTTTGTTCAAACGTTTGCAATAGGGGAAGCGGAAAACCCTCAGATTATCCAAACTCATTAAAAATATTTCATTTGAAATAGTGCACACGTTGAATCAAATTTTTGCCCGATTCAAAGCTAAAACAACGTAGCCAAACTTTCATTTTCAAGGAGCGCAGTTCGCTAGGATGATTGATGCTCCAGTGGGCCGCCAGTTTGAATTTTCAATTTTCTTTTACGGAAAACCAATGTCTGGAAAATGCGAGGACAGCATTAGAAGGCCGATATCAATTTCCCAAGTGTTCAGCGTTCAGCATGCAAACTTTAGCAAACTTCTGGATGGATGCCAAGCGGCCACAAAACGCCACGTAAAGCTCTTCAAGTGTTCTAAACTATTCCAATTTTTCTTATAATGTTTATGTGCTCAACGCTCAATTGCTCAACGAAAATGATACAACTGGAAGTGACAAATTAGTTAAAGCATGTCTTATCACCTTCGCTTCC